CATAGTGCCTTCTTCACTGTAGGCCCTCAAAAGATTTGTTAAAAGATTAAATAAGTATAAAGTTTATGGTTTGTCTATAACCTAGGCTCATTTCTTTAAAAGGGGGTAATTTAACATGTTGGACTATAAAGAGCACCAATCAGAGTCAGAAGACCTGGGGTCTAGCCTGGCTTTGCTTTTGACCAGATCTGTGATGTGGGCAAGTTAAGGTAATTCCTTTGGACTTGGCTTCCTCAGGTGTAAAATGCATGGTTTCATTTAAATCTCTGATCCTTTTCTTGCACTGCAGTAATTCCCTTTCATGTAGCAAATATTATAGTGACTTTGGAAAACATGGTTTACTTCCTGAAGCAACCAGAATTATGTCTATATTTGAGAGTGCCCAAATTAAATATACTTCCTTATATTTTGGCAGAGTATTCTGAGGCAAAGGTCATCCAGTCCATTTTTTTTTAAGTTCATCTACTTTCAACTTTCTATCATTATCTAGCAAAAGGCAGTATTATCTCTTACACTGCTCCTTCTACAAAGACTTACTTTCTACATTTTATCAAATTGTTGTTCACTTAAATTCTTTTGTTTGGAGGACAGAATGTGGTAATCCAACTAAAAATATATTCAAATAATTTCCACTGGGAACTGACATGATTTTGTCATCTTGCCACCTGGGAAATATAACCAAGGATCACTGCAGAAAGCTTATCTAGTTTATTGCTGCTTTATATGTGTACTGAAAAAGGTGTGAATGGCAGGATTGTGAAGTGGTTATAAACTCTGCCATTGGAGTCAGACTGCCTAAGTTCAAATTCCAGCATCCCTTTTTTCTACATGTGGGTCTTGGGAATTTATTATAACTTGCTAAACTTTAGTTTCCACACACTTAAAATGAGAAAACTAATAGTAGCTATCTCACAAAATTGTATGGATAAAATGAGATAATCCACATAAGAGGATACTATACCTAACCAAAGCAATCTATAGATTTAATGCAATCCCCATCAAAATCCAATGATGTTTTTTGCAGAAATAGAAGACCCCACCCTAAAATTCATGTGGAATCTCAAGGGACACCAAATAGCCAAAACAATTTTGAAAAAGAACAACAAAGTTGAAGATCTCACACTTCCTGATTTCAAAACTTGCTACAAAAGCTACAGCAATCAAAACAGTGTGGTACTGGCATAAAGACAAACATACAGACCAATGGAATAAAACAGAGAACTCTGACTTAAACTCTCACATACATGGTCAAATGATTTTTGACAAGGGTACACCAAGATCACTCAGTGGAGAAAAGACACTCTTTTCAACAAATGGTGTTGGGAAAACTGGAAATCTACATGCTTAAAAAATAAAGTTGGACCCTTACCTTATGCTGTATAGAAAAATTAACATGAAATGAATCAAAGACTTAAACATAAGAGCTAAAACTATAAAACACTTAGAAGAAAAGATAAGAAAAAGCTTCATGACACTGGATTGGCAATGATTTCTTGGATATGACACCAAAAGTAAGAATAGATAAATTGGAATACATCAAAATTAAAAACTTTTGTGCATCAGAGGACACAGTCAATAGAGGGAAAGGGAAACCCACAGAATGGGAAAAAATACTTGCAAATTATGTATCCGATAAGGAGTTAATATCCAGGATACATAAAGAACTCCTACAACTTAACATCAAAAAACAAACAACCTGATTTTAAAGTGGGCAAAGGACTTAAATAGTTCTCCAAAGAAGTTACACAAATGGCCAATCAATTGCACATTTAAAGATGCTGAACATCATTAATCATTAATCAAAACAACAATGCTATACCACTTCACAGTCTTTAGGATGGCTATTAAAAAAATGTAGCCACATTTCTCAAAGATGAGTACTTTGTCTTCTGGGTAAATTTCATAAAAAGAATAAACCATATTTAAGTACCAACTAAGCAATGCCATCTGACATAAGCACAATAGAAATTAATTTCTTAACCTAAAGAACAACATATTGTAATAAAATAAAATTGATAGGGCTATAAACTTAAATAATTTAATATTTAGGTACACAATGTATGTTTTACTAAAAATTTGATTCATATGAAAGGCTATATATACATATGACATGAATTTGATTAATGTTGAAGGGGAATAAAATTTGTCATCCCAAAATATGCCTCTTTGGCATAATGATTATTTTAGGTTATTTTTAAACAAACAGCAGACATGAGAGAAGTTCTGAAAACCAAGTAGAAGTTACCCTTTTGTAAGAGACATTTACATTTACAATCATGTGCTGCATAACAACCTTTCAGTCAACAACGGGCTGAGTATATGATGGTGGTCCCACAAGATTAGTACCATACAGCCTAGGTGTGCAGTAAACTGTATGATTGAGGATCGAGGTTGGTCTAAGTACACTCTATGATATTTGCCAACAAAGTCGCCGATCAATCCATTTCTCAGAAAGTATTCCCTCATGAAGCAAGCAGGACTGTATCCGTAAAATCTCCATTTGTAAGGGAGTCTCCCTTGCTGTACTAGGAAGAGGGTGATAACAATCTCCAGAAACCTTTATCAGTGGAGAAGGCAAAGACTTAAATCTGCATAACAAGGTTACCCTTGTTTACTGTGCTCTTCCTGGTTACCTCCCATCACTGACTCTTCACCTCCAACATATTCTTTTGTCTTTAGCTGTAGATGGTATTTGGCTATTTCAGGGAGGTACTCAGTTTTCCTGGATCTCTCCCACATATACAGGAGGTATATAAGTTATTAAACTTTTGTTTGTTTTTCTATTAATCTCTCATATCAATTTGATTATTAGACCAGCCAAAGAACCTAGAAGGGAAGAAGGGAAAATCCATCCCCCCACCCAATGTGAAAGTTTTAAAAATTCTCTTATCTCGCTGTCATTACAAAATCTTTCTAATGTTATTATCAATGTTATGAAACACTTAGCAGCAAGTTATCTTGAAATTAAGTACAACCAGCCTAAATCTGGGAGTAAACGCAAAGTATTTTCTGATATTCATACTTTGATTTTTTTTTTCTTAAATAAAATGAAGCTTATTTCATATAACCTAGTCTTTTGTTTGGATAATCCTGCCGACTTATACTTACTGTGATTATTTATTCTAATATACCAAACTAGAAGATCTTTAGTAAGTTATACTAGAATATTAGAGAAACTTTCCTTAGCAATAATTTAAATACCCAAACTAAAGTGGATATAGCAATGTTCATAAAGAGCACACAGTAATTGATAGCAATCTTAGGAAGCATTTCTTAAAAAATTGAAAGATAGGCTTACTATTTATAAAAAGCGTTCTATGCACATGCCTAAACCAGTGTGTATACCCCCACTTCCTTGGTTTGGTGACAATACAAAAGAAAATGACTTCTGAATATTTATTACATCGATATTTCAATTTTGTGGGAACATGCTGAAGGCACAATGAAGAAAACAGTCTCAAAAAACTGACCACAAATACCACTCCAGGGAGAGTGGCTCCCAGGTATAGAACTGTAGGTATTTTCTAATGTTTACTCCATAATAAAACTGTTTAAATAAAATTTAAATATCAGAAGTCTTAGTTGTGATAAAAACTTCACTTGACTTTAAAGCAGAAGTCTTGTGACAGCACTCTTCCACAGCAAATTATAGTGCTACTGGCAGCATAAATAGAAATAACATGAAGAAGTGACTATTTCCCAAAGCAGGTAGCCATGGATGTAGAAAACTGTTTATATAAAGATTGTATAACTTAATATACTAGAATATTTACAGAATTCTAAGAAAAACTTTTCCCTCATTTCCAAATAATATTAATTTGAAGAAATATTTTGGCATTAACTGGCACAATACTTACCTGTTTCTTGTGCAGAACAAACTAAACAGCTGCAGGGTAAATTTCTTTTTATGTACGGTCAGAATTAAAATTTAAAACATCACAAACCCTCAGTGAATAATAATTCTCTTGAAAACTTAGAATTTTATAAGGTAGCTATCCCCACTCTAAAAACTTAAGAATGTTTATGTGGGCTTTTTTTCCCTAAAAGCAAAAAATTAAACATTAAAAAAACTTTTTAAAAGAAATCTAGTTAACATTCTTGTTTTTAAAAACAAAATGTTATAGACCATTAAGAATCTATCTTTAAGTACTTAGTTTTAGTACAAAAATCTGAAATCAAGTATATTGTATTATGATATGCTACTTTTGACTTGAAAAGTAGCCTAACGGAAGATCTCTTAATTGCATTACAATACAGATCCTTGAGGAGTCTTTACAAATTAAATAAAAATTATATTCAACTTTCTTCAAAATATCTACTAGAAATCTTTTAAAATCTAATATACTATCATTTTAGACAATTTTTGCCTTTGGTAACTACTGGTACTATTCTTTAAAGATAGTAAAAAGCAAGAATTTCTTCTCTTTCCTTCCTTCCAAACGAAACATCTCAAATTTTATGTGTGAGGCTTTTTTTTCTTACATAATTTGCATTTTAAAACGAGCTCCAAAAAGTAGTCAGAAAAATAATCAAAAGTCTTAAGTACAAGTTTAAAAAAAATAGCATAAACCACTGAAGATAAAGTAAGAAACTATTTTCTTTTTAGCCAAAATACCAAGTATTTTAAACTTTATATAAATAACACACATACACAAAACCCCACCGTATTTTAGGTATGGTGTCTAAAATGGAGTGGCACTAAAACCAATGAAGACAACAACAAATAACCCTTTATACTTAATTGAAAATATGTATACTCTCATTTTTCTTAAAGGCATACATTATGAATTTTCTACTGGCATTCTTGAATAAAATTAAGAAGCATACTTTCCACCAATTTACTCTCTTTTCTCCCTTGTATGTAAGAATCTCTACCAAAAGGAAATCTTTTCTATGACTGCAATAGAGATTTCTGAAAACCTAAAATATATAGTCTTCAGAAAAAAACATTCCTAACTCACTATGCATCTTTATAAGCTTATACATTTAAAATGAATCTGTTTTACGGCTTACATTCAAATTTAATGCATGACCACAGGTCCCAGGGATTGAAGAATCTTGTTGGCAGCCAATGGTTCAAGGGATGACAATATTCTTGGCATTCGTAATCTCAAAATTTTAAAAGAAAACTATTCACTGTAGTCTTAGAAAAACTTGTATATAGTTCTATTTAAAAAGCATACTCACCACAAACAGATACAAGAGAGACAAATAAGAAAATAGATTGTGTTATATCTTTGTAAACTTGTTCCATTTCAAAATGTATTCTTTAGGGTTAGGGAAATTTCCTATACAAATAAAACTAAACATTTGTTCCCTTTGCTTTGAAAAACATTTACAGTACATAGAACAACAAGCTAAAAGTATACACCTGCTTATATTGCTGGCCAGTGATATAGATGAACAAGGACACAAAGGTGCTTATTCAATTATCTGAGCATCTTAATTTGTCTGTATAGAGAAGTTACTGTAGATTGACTATGGAAAAATTAGAAAACATCATTAGTGAACACTAGCCCTTGTGTAAAACATCACACAAGGTGTCAGAGTATTATACATTCACTGTGGTAAAAACTGTACATACATATTTCTATGCATTTTTAACTTGGCAAAATTTACAAGACAATTTTTTTCATCTCTTAAAATTCTGAGTTGAGAAAAGTCTATTTTTTTTCTTTTGTCAAAGAAAGGTGACTTAACTGACTGATTAGGTTCATGAAACTTTTTACAGCATTCTTTGCTAAGGACTTTTCATCAATGTCTTTAACTGGTATCCTCATGAAGAAAAACTCAATAAACTTTGAAAGTTTTGAGCAGGTATTTCCACATCTTTGCTGGCTAGCATCATGATATACACAAAATGATATACGTAATAATAGTCCAGGGCAATGTGAAATGCAAAACTTGGTTCTGTAAGTCTATTTTGGTCTCAGCGTGAAGTTCTTTTCTTTCATCCAGCCATGTTGTCCCTTATTTGATCAACTCGAAGAGCTAGGTCTCTGAAAGAGGGGCGCTGATTTACATTGTTGTTCCAGCATTGTGTCATGATCACATAAATCTGTAAAAGAAAATAAAACAAAATTACAATGCATACAAAGTGCCATCTTTTAACTGGCGAAAGCATGAATTCAGAACTCCAACTTAATTTTCCTATACAAGTATCATGGCTTAGAACCACAGTCATATGATTATGCTATTTATCTAAAAGCTCAGCAAATTAAATTTCATAAAATGACCTAACATCCTTGGGTAAAAGGAGAAAGAAAATGCATGACTACTGTGGATAAAAAGTTTTTTTTCTTACCTCATCTGGGCATCCATCTGGTTTTGGTAATCTTCCATTATTCTTCAGGAGTTCTATCAAATGAAACACAATCATCTGTCCTTGTTTGTCATTGCCAATCATACGCATAAATTCCTGAAAAACAAACCCATGTTTCAATGAGATTTTTTTGATATATTGAATTTGAAGCAAAATCCTTTCTCAGATTCTTCCAGTAAATGGGAAAATGTCTGTATATGTATGTTTTCTTATATGTTGGAAACCTTTTAAAAACAGACTATTTTAAGAATCAGTAACTTCCTTTTCAGTCATATTTCAGAAAGGACTGTTAAATGTGGAACCTCTATAATGCCATTATTCTCTGAGAAGAGATCAAAGTAAGTGAACTAAAAACATATTTACTTCGGTTTTTTGGTTGTTGTCGTTTTAACACATCATATTACATTTCACGTGAAATAAAAAGTTGAATGTAAAAGAGGCCATAATAAAAAGAAAATGCAGAATCAATATTTAAACATAAAGCAATGGAGAGAAAATGTTCATGTTAGAAATTCATAAAATTAAAGTTTGAACTATAAGCTAGAGAAATATTTACAATGAACATATCATTTATAAATTGGTAAGAAAAATTACCAATATGAAAATAGGCACAACACATGAGCAGACACTGCACACACACACATACTCATCCCAAATACCCAATAAATATGTACTGTCATGTTAGTAGGAGAAATGCAAATTAAAATTAAATATATACAACTTCTCTCCTATCAATTTGGCAAAATTGAATAAAAATATAATGGTCAATACTGGCAGATGAAGAAATGAACACGCCTAATGCACTGCTAATGAGAGTAATTTGGTAGAGCTTTTCTAGAAAGCATTCTGAAATAATCAAAACTCTTTAAAAGAGTTTATAACTTTTCATTTATAATTATACTTTTATTCTAAGGTGACAACCAGAGATAAACAATATGTATGAGAATATTCACTTGTTCATTGAAGTGTTACTTAAGACTGAAAAATGAAAAATGATTGTCCAGAAATATCTTAATGATGAAATGCTACCCAGAAGTTGGACATCATATTTGCAGTAAATATTTACTAATACAGGGAACTATCCATGCTTAATACAAACTGGATGGTATGACCTTTATTTTATAAAAGAAATATTTTTAACAAAATTTCACTTTTATATACAAAATTAAAAGAAGCCTGGAAGAAAACATATCACAATATTAAAGTAGTTATCTCTGAGCAGTTGAATTAAAGATGATTTTTTTCATACTTTCCTATATTTAAAAAAATCTATAATGTACAGGAAAAAAATTACTTTAAAAGGTTTACTTTAACTTTTGCAATAATTCCTAGAATAAATGAGCTTATTTGATTTACTAAAAATAATACTAAGACAACATACTAAAGAGTACTCAACACCCCCTTTTTAAAAATTCAAGTTAATTTAATTAATAAGTTTAGGGTTATTTTCTCAGATGTTGTCTTACAAACAAGCAATAAGAGGCTCTAAAATGAGCCCTAAGATTAACATTATTCTTTGGAAAAATCTTTTCTCATATTAAAAAAGTTGAAAGTAAATAAAAAGCACACCGACCGCTGGTGGACTTTTACTCTTCTCAATATATGTAAAAAGTTCATACAGAACCACTCCAAAGCTCCAAACATCTGAGGCCACAGAAAACTTGCTCTCTGTCAGTGATTCTGGAGCATACCTGTAACACATTGAAAGCATTCAAAAGACAGTTACTTGATATGCCAATTCTTGATTTTACCTGCAAATCACTGGATTAAAAAAAAAGGGGGCCAGCCCTGTGGCTGAGCGGTTAAGTTCGAGGGCTCCACTTTGGCGGCCCAGGGTTTCACTGGTTCAGATCCTGGGCGCAGACATGGCACTGCTCATCAGGCCATGCTGAGGCGGTGTCCCAAATGCCACAAGTAGAAGGACCCACAACTAAAATATACAACTATGTACTGGGGGGATTTGAGGAGAAAAAGCAAAAAACAAAAACGAAAGATTGGCAACAGTTCGTAGCTCAGGTGCCAATCTTTAAGGAAAAAAAAAATCATTGGGTTAAAAGGTGTACAGAAAAGAGTTAACATAGCAGGCCTGAGGCTGCCATCTTCGAAAAGGCCTGCTTGCTTAGAATGTTGATACCTGACTGGTGCCTGAGAACTTAGATTTCAGGAGGGTTTCCACAATTCCCTAAATGGTAAGAGTGGCTCACTGTGCCTATATTGTTTCTGCAAACAATACGGTTTATTCTGAACATCTGCTTTCCTTCTGAGAATCTGGAATTTTGATATGCGTCAGGCGGAGTATGCCTATGTACCCAGTCCCAATAAAAACCTTAGGTACTGAGTCTCTAATGAGCTTCCTTAGTAGACAACATTTCACACGTGTTGTCACAATTTACTGCTGGGGGAATTAAGCATGTCCCATGTGACTTTACTGGGACAAGACCCTTGGAAGTTTGTCCTTGGTTTCCGCCAGGCTTTGCCTCAGATGCCTTTTCCCTTTGCTGATTTTGCTTTTATCTTTCCCTGTAATGAATCATAGTTATGAGTATTGTCACTGACTAACTGCCCCGCAGAACTCAAGGGAGGTTTCAGAAGCATTTAACTGTTTCTTCAAATTGTTTTTTTCTTTTTAGTTAAGAGATGTAATCACCAACCACCCTGAACCAGACCAAGCCCCACTGCAAGAGCAGCACCTGTGGGGATGCACAAACTGTGCCTGTGCAAGTGAATACCCACCTCTCCCTTTCGAATATTCATTCCCTATCCAAAATAAAAGGCCTCTGCTGTCCTGTGCTCTGGGACAGCCATGACTTCAGAAATGATTCCTAGTGGTCTCCTATTTGCTGTAAATAAGCTCTACTTTGTGTGACAATTACTTCTGGTGGAGAGTCTGATTTTAACTCACCAGGAAGTGAACCCACTTTGGTTTGGTAACAGTGTGGCTGTTTGCTGAGTCCTGTGAGTCCTCCTAGTGAATCATCGAACCTGAGGGTGGTCTTGGGAACCTCTGATACACAAAGATAACTAAAATCCAAAAAAATTTATTTTTGTCTCTATAGGTAACAGCAGTGTTAACTGCAAAGCACCTTCTAAGAACTGAAAAATAAGCTGCTCTTTGCAAGTTAAGCTTTAAATGAATCCTGATAAGTGTCATAGTGGGAAAAAATGGCTTCTAAGCTGGAGCAAGACTTGAAGCTATTAACATATAAAAGAAAGAACCTGTTAATCAGAAAGGGGGTAATGATGAGAGGGAGCACAGAAAATAGAAAGTCATGGGGGGAAATGGTGTCACTGTCCACTCATATATCAACACTATGCAAGGGAGAATTTTGGTCAATGCACTGAATACCATGATTCCATTGCTAATGGGTTTATCCTTATTATAAAGGATGGTGACAGAGATATGTTTTAGACTGATGAGATTAAAAGTATGAATTACATAAATTTAATCTCTCCTTCAAAGCTAATTTAAGTTTTCTCATTTCCACAAATCCTCCTCTGACTACTCAAGGTCTTAATGACCTTATGCTACTGAATTTCTAGAGTACTTAAAAGTCCATACTCCACATTTAACCACGTAAAGGTATATTCTTTTTATAGTTAGTTTTTAAGAAATTTTTAGATATTTAGTTATGTTATTTTTAAATGTATGTTAGTTTTATCCCACAAATGAAATATAATCTCTTTCAAGACAGTGCTACTCCCCCAACCCTTTCAAAGTATTTTGTTCCTTTGGTTTCCATGAAAGCACTCTTAATAATTCCCACCCCACCAGCCCCATCTCCAAGGCTGTTTTTCTCTCTCCCATCATTTATATAAGGATAAATACAAATCAAAAAATAAAAAAAAATAATTCTCCCTCTTGAAAATGAGGGGAAAGACTCTTCTTCCTCTTTTCTTAGAGCATTTACTTTAGAAAACCTCTAACTGTAAATTCTTTGTCTCTTTGAAATATATGTAAATCTTTATTAAAGCTTTTTCTTAAAAACCTCTTGCCAGCTTTATGATCCAGGAATTTCTTTCTCAAGAACCTGAGAACCATCTCTTTGGAATGGAATCATCATGGAAAATAGCACCCTACCTCCCAGTTTCTGTGAGAGGATAGAAGCCTAACTTTGGCAGGTGCCTCCTTCCAAGTTGCAAAACTACGTCCTGTTGTAAAGATAGGAGAAGTTTATAAAGCCAATTAGCTAACACAGATGGTCACTCCAATTACCAAGTAAATTTAGGATGAACTATGGGTAATAAATGGTGCTGTCAAGTCCTCTTACTTGAGGACTAGTTATTGTTCATCTTGAGAACATATATGTAACAGATTGACTCTCCTTGGCCACATGAAAGGGTGAGATTTCTTTCCGTCTTTGCAATCTCTTAGCAGATTGCTTGTGACGCATATTACTTTCTGGATTAATGCTTATTCAGTAATAAAACTGTTTTCCTTCTCTTCTATCTTTGTGGAGAGGTTTTCTAGGTTGGGAGGAGAGCTTATTTTGAATTATATTTCCCTAACACTAACCCGTCTTTTCTCCATTCTCTAAATTTGAGTTTCCCCAAAGTTCCATCATCAGATCTCTTCCCCTCTGTCAAAAACCTTCCCTTAGATAGTATCACCCATCTATTTACTAAAGTCTCCTAAATTTATAACCATATCTTTGACCCTTCTTTTTGTGCTTCAGACTTACTGAACATGTCCGTATTAAAGTTCTACAGGTAAACAGAACTCCATCCCCGCCTTTCCAAAACCTGCTGATTATTTTACTTTCCCTATGCATGAATGGCATCACAATCTACCCAACTCCGGAAGCTGGAAATCTTAAGAATTATTTTTGACTCATCTTTCACTCCAATGTCCAATGAACCACCTAGTACCTTTAGAGTATATCTTAGAAATATCTCAAATCAGTCTCCTAAACCAAAATTGCTGTTACAGTCTTGGGTCAGATCCTTATCTCATGACTAGTACAGCGATCCTCAAACCACGTGGAGTCACCCCAGGGATATATAAAGATCTTCCAAGGGGTACTCTACAGCAAGAACAGTATAAGGATCCTCTAGAAGTCTAAAATTCTGCTTCAACAATTTAAAAAAATATTTTAGCAGAATCATTTTTCCCTCAGTTCTTAATACCAACCCTAGGACATGCTGAAACATGCCGTTAGCTTAAAACAAAGAGCACTTCTGAACAACAAAAGCAATATAGATGACAAAGACTCTTTTAAACGATACTGTAATTTTTTAAAGATATGATGGCTAAATATTATGGATAAAAATTATGTGTGATTTCTTTCAGACTTCAGAGTTAGTGTTCATTATTCAATGTTAGCTAAAACCTATGTTATCAAATCATATTCTGAAATATTTATATAAAATTTAGTCAACCTCAATTAATTGAATAAAACATTTAATTTTTTTTGCTAATATAAAAATAAAACTATATGACTAGTTTTTAGTAGTATATAGCTTTTTCATTAAATACATAGGAAAATTTTGATCATGATGAAAATGATGTCGTTTCTGATTTTTATACAAGCTGCTTATTTAAAAAGTCAAACAGAGTTCAACACATACCTCTCCCCAAAACATTTACTGAAGGAATACTATGCATTTTGCCATATACTTTACTTCATAAGTTATAATCTAGCTACATTTTATTCTGTATCATTTATTGCAAATTAAGTAATGAGAAATTACTTATTTTCATAACAATATGAAATTAATTATACTAGATATATATCATTTTAAGCTTATCTTGACTGCCCTTGTGATTTATCTTTCCAAATATTCAGGGAGAAATACAGGGCCCAAAATTTATATAATTTGGGGGCTTTCTTTATGACAAAGAATATAAAATTACGTATAAAAGTGAGTATTTAAAATTAGAAAAGAAGGAATCTTGGAAGGAAGGCACTCTGGTGGATATGCTTTGTTAGCTTCACTATAAAAAAGCCTCTGCACATGTGTTCTGCAACTTATTTCTGTGTTTTAAAAAGTAATATTTCATAATATTAATATACTTATTTAAATTAAAAAATGAAGTCAGACTTTTTCTGTCAGAAATTAAGTGTGATTTGTTTATGAGGCCTAGCATTGCTAAATGGGTTGTATGAGGACATTCTTCATAAACTGACTCAACCTTTGAGGCAGCACAAAGGTTTGCCATATTTAAATCATGTATTTAAAATATTATAAAAGATGTTATTAAAAAATACTGTGTCAAAATTAACAATATTTTTTTTGCAACCTTTTTTGAATGTATCAATTTAAACAAGATGCCTCTAAATGAGAGTAACACCACGACTGCAATTAATTTGAACAAGTTTTTTGGTACACTTCCCAGAAATTGAGAATAACTCTAATAATTGGGTAGTAAATCCACTTTTGAAAATCAAGTGGGTTTAATTCTTTGCTTTCAATAAAATTGAAAAAAGAATGGATCTAATGAAATTGCCAGATATATAAATTTTAATGGTAGATCCCTGTATATATTTTTTTGCTACACATCTCAGGAGTCATAGAAATCAATATTGTTATAACAAAACTTCCATTCCTATCTACTTATTTACACAAATGAGTTTTCTCAGTGTTTACATCTATGAAATGGAAAATAAACCTAGGTTTTATGCTGAATCTGGTCCCATTACAGAAATAAATAACATTCTTCCAACAATATAGGAACTAATTGGGGGGGGGGGGTAGGGAAGCTCCACTTATCTCTTTAAGAAATGTCTCCAATAAAAGTTTTTCAACAATTATCCAAATTTGTAAGTTATTTATATTGCTTTGGAAAATTTCATCCTGATAATAACTTCAGTGATAACTCAATCCAGAAGAAAAATGTGAATACTTAGGAGTTTTGTGGTCACAGGAAATTTAAAAATCAATTTCAATTTATGTACATATTTTGGTTACAAAAGAGATAGATGATCAAAAGATTTTCCAAGTATAAAATATAATACATTATGTAAAATTCTTGGTGAGAAGGGAAGTGGAAATATAATTTTAAGGACAAAAAGGAATGATGTAAAGTTTCTATCAAAAATAAAATGCCTGTTCCTATACATTTTAAAGTGGGTGACAATGGGTATCATATTGCTGTGGTACTTAGATTTCATCGGATACATCTAAAAGATTGATATAATTGTTATTTAAATGTCAATATTTTAGGAAATATATTATTTACAACTACTTAAATTTATAAGGAAAAAATTTAGCTATCAATTTAAAAATGTGCAAGAAAGGATACAGTTTTTCATAATTCTCCCAGTGGGTATAAATACACAAAGGTTTGAAAACCAATGGCCTAGATTCCTACAAAAGTTGCCTAATTAGCCTTCTCTCTACTGTTAGCCTCTCCTTAATACAACGTACCCTCTATACCAATAGTTCTCAAATCTTTTGGTCTCAGGCTCCCTATACACTCTCAAAAAGTACTGAAGTCTCCAAAAAGCTTTTGTTTATGTGGCTTATATCTACTAATATTTACCATATTAAATATTAAAACTAAGAAAATAGAAAAGTATTTAATTCATTAAAAATAATAAACCCAGTACATGTTAACGTAAATCACATTTTTATAAAAAATAACTTTCCAAAAACAACAAAAAAATTTGTAAGAGTAGCATTGTTTTACATTTGTGTAAGCTTCTTTAATGTTTGGTTTAATAGAAGACATATCTTATAGCTTCTGGAAAATTCCACGATATTCTCATGAAAAAACGAGAGTGAAAAAGGCAAACAACATCTTAATATTATTATGAAAATATTTTTAACCTTATGGAATCCCTAAAGTAGGTATCTGAGGTCCCTACACTTTCAGAACTGCTGTTCACCACCAAGAGTAGAGCTATCCTCCTAAAATATGAATCTCCTCATGTTATTCCCTCAGATAAAGCCTCTATAATTTCCCACCTACACACTGTCTACTGAATAAGTTCTGAACTCATTAACATAGTATACAGGGCTCAAACCTTTCCAGTTCCAATTACTCCCTATTTGTTCTGTGATGACGCCATTCACTTGGAAGCTCCTGATCCTCTTGTTCTTGTCATCCTCCTCATGGAATGGCCTTCTTGTCTATTTAAAAAACTATTAATCAATAGTTGAAATGTCATCTCTTAGTTGTAGTTTTCTCTGATTAATTTAAACCCTCAGCAGAACTATTTGCATTCTTATATTTTCCCAACTTCTTCTTCATTATTGCACTTACACAATGCACTGCAATGATCTGATTACACATTTGATTTTCCCCAAACTATGAGCTTTTAAAGGGAAGAGATTATGAGTAGTGGACCTGTCAGTTGAATTGGCCTGCCATATCAAACTTTTCCTTTTAGTTCAGCCTTCCTAGTAAGAGACAGTTCTTTTTTCCCGTTGCTGATCCTATCTTCTTATCCCAATCTCCTTGTATGGTGTTTGGAACACAGTGGGTACTTAATAAAAGTTTATTACATTGTATTTATTAAGTATGCCCAAATCACTGGAAATTCATATAACTAATATTTATGGATTGCTAGTTAATTCCATTTAACTTCTTTAATTTCTTATTCTAGAAAAAAAGAATGAAATTCATGTATCACTGAGGACATGACCAAAATAGTCAAGCTTAGATGAGTCCTTTTTTTTTCCACTTCTATCCTAAAAATAATTAGATGATGGTAATGCTAACAATTATCATCAGGATAGTCCTTAAAAAGTGTTTTTATCATCATGAGAAATTTCAAAAATATACAAATTAGAGAACAATGAACAACCATGTATCTGCCACTTAGTTAAATTCATTGCTCACACCTTGTTTTACCTACTACTCCCCACCTCCACCCCACTAGACTTATATGAAGTGAATTCCAGACATGACATTATTTCAGCCATAATTATTACAGTACGCATCTGTGAAAGTTAAGGATTCTTCTTTAAAACACATTCACGATACCAGTACAAATTATTCTTCTGTGCAAATAATCCATTTGTTCTAAAACATTGGTGTTTTCTTGCCTAATTTCTTTCCAGCCTAACAATTTGCAATAGCTGTAGATTACTGGGGTAAGTTGTAAGATTCACAGATACAAAATAAAATGAAGATAAATAACACATACAGGTGATACATGAACTTAGCAGTAGCTAACTGAATAATCTATACATTTCTAATAATTCTGATAAATCCCAGAGAAATATTTATAAATTGACAGTTACATATTAGTAATTCTAAGTCAGATACCCAAGACGTAAAATAAAATATACTTAAAATAAATGAAACCCATTCCTTAATACTAAAATTTGATTGAAACAACATAATCTTAATAGCATTATTTCAGCAGATGAATAAACCAGAGTTAAAGTCTATTTTGAGTATATCCCAAACCAAACATTTAAATATAATTTCACCAATTATCCCTATAAAACAAAATGTACCTTAAATGAACTCAGGCATAAAAAAGAAAACCTTGCATCAAAGCACATATCAATGAGAACAATAATGTATACCATATAAAAAATTAGGTTTGTGTGTTCTTTGCAATTCACAATTTTAATGGAAGATCAAAAGTTACCTTTAGCTTCAAACTGCTGCAACATATAAAATATTTAATTAATGTCATGAGCACCATAATAGTTAAGAAAGCTTAAAAGCACAAACTCTGGGATCAGACTATCCAGGTTTGAATCCTAGTTCTGCCATTTATTGATCACGGGACTGTGAGCAAGCTATTTAACCTGTCTACGCTTCAGTTCCTTCATGCTTAAGATGGAGAGAATAATACATATTCTCCAAAGGTTGTTATGAGGATTAAATGAAATAATCCATAAAATGCATTTAGCCCAATGTAACCATGTGATAAATTTTCACTATTATAAATATATAAATGATGAACTATTAATAATAGTAAAAATAAAGTTTGAAGTTTGTGCTCTAAAATTTCATTTTATTGTACTAAAATATACTCACCAGAATATGGGACTTTCACCAGGTTCTTTCACTTTGTAGTATTCTTTGTCTTGTGGCAAGACTTTGGTTAACCCAAAATCTCCAATTTTAACTCTGTTTTCATTTTCCACCAATATATTCCTTGTTGCCAGATCCCTGTGGATATATCTTTTTGTACCAAGATATTCCATACCCTATGGATAAAATAACATTTTTCTTTAGCTAGTTTTACAAACATAAACAATTTAAATGGTCTTATCTTTGTATACTTCCTTAATTATCTAAGAAAAACTCTAGAGAATTTCTTAACAATTACTTCAACATGCTCTCTTCATCTACAACAAATAGCCAGAATATTAGGTACCTTGCATATCTGAGATGTGTACTGCAGAAGTTTTTTATGATCTATCCGTTCTTTATGTTTTTGGAGATAGTCTCGTAAACTTCCATATGGTAAATATTCCATAATTAATCTTAGATTACGCCGGCCTTTTAATATACAAATGGGAACATAATGTTTTACCTTGCCATATTTTACTGATGAAATATTAGAAAACAACCACAGATGAATGATTTAAAGATAAATAAAATCTGAGTCTAAGATGACAAAACTTGATTATAAATTAAATGTGATGTAGTAGTTAATAACACAGGCTTTTTGAATCAAAAAGTTTTGAAAAGAAGCTTTAAAAATAGTTAAGTTTTAGTGTTCTGTAACCCTTTATGCAAACCAAAATAAGCTGATGAGAAAACTTCCTTTCTCCTCATCTATATCGAATAAAAGTATCTAACTTAAAAACAGTATTTTCATAGGAAATGTGAACAAAGACAACATTTCTTTAAAAATGATATTCTCTTGGTAAGTTTAAGCAAGAACAGTAACCAGCATCCTCAGTGAAGAGAATGACTAACCAATCAGCCACAGACTTCCTGTAGTTATACAGCCCACCATCACCAAGCGAAATCTCCAGTCATACAGAATGCTTCTCCCTCTGGGCACTGGTATATTCTAAGTCCAGATCTTGAGACATTATATGTTTATACTACCCAAGATGCCAAAGACATACCTTGAGTTCAAAATAGGTTTCAATGGGCAACATACCAGCACTGTAGCACACTCCCTTGTACTTTACAATGTTGTCATGCTGCAGGGATTTAAGGATTTCAATTTCCCTTTCAAAGTCTCTGAGGTGCTCTTCAGTACTGTGCTGGAGCTTTTTCACAGCCACCACCTCCCCAGTGTTGTCTTGTAGAGGGTCATAACGGCACATCTCCACACTCCCAAAATTACCCTAAACAACACATCACATTAGGATAGAAATCTCAAGTTTTCTAGAAAAATTACTAACAATTTCCAAATATACAGGCAATTCCAGTAGCTAGAATTAGGAGACATAGCTCTAAGCTTACATTAGGCAACTTTCAGAACAAGAAAAGGAAATAATTGTAACAGGTGGGTAGTAAACCTATATATTTAATTTCTTCAAAAGGAATTACAGACTGAAATATAAACAATTTCTAAAAATGCAATTTCCAAATAATACAATTTGTAAAAGCCTTTAAACAAATCATGAACATTAATTATTAAGATACATCAAGGGACATGCCAGGAAATTCCTAAATTTCTATCTCTAACTTCCAGGAAGAACTTTGCTTCTTCACAAGGTAACTTCTGATATCACTGTCAGTGAGCTGGATGGAATAAAGGTTTGTTATGGATTGAATGTCTATGTCCCCACAAAATTCCTATGATAAAGCTCTAAACCCAATGTGAGAGCATCTGGATGCAGGGCCTGCAAAGAGGTGATAAAGGTTAAACAAGTCATAAGGGTGAGGGCTTAATCCGACAGGCCTGGTGCCTTTACAAGAAGAGACACCAGAGCTCTCTGCTATTTGAGGATACAATGAGAAGGTGGCCACATGCAACCAAGAAGACAGTCCTCACCAGAAACGAAACCCTGCTAGAACCTTAATCTCGAAAGTTCCAGCCTCCAGAACTATGAGAAACAAATGTCTGTTGTTTAAGCCACCTAATCTATGATATTTTGTTATGGCAGCCAGAGCAGACTAATACAAGGTCTGATTTATTGCTTAAGGAAGTAAGAAATTCTTAGCTTATGGGGATGTTCCTATATTTTTTTAAAATGTAAGTCTTCAAAGAAATCTATTCTGTTTTTATTTAATATTCATTACCTATATAGAATTGATAAACTGATACACAACATTTAAAATTAAATTTTTTGGCATTAATCAAATTAGTATATTTTGGATATTATTGCACTATTAAAAAATAAAACAATGTAGTCCTTGAGCTACAAGATTCAAAGTGACTATATTTTCAATTATATACTTAAAGTCAATTAAAACAAAACCTAGACCATATGTAAACCCAAAGTTAAACCTCCAATTACACAGGCCACACAGCAAGGTTGATAAGACCTGGGACTCTGGAGTCAGACAGATTGGAGCTAGAATCTTAGTCCACTACTTACTCTCTTTGGGACCTTGGGCAAGTCACTTCCCTCTCTAATACCAGCTTTCTACTTCTTAAAATGGAGGATAATAAAATATCTCATATTGCTGTTGTGAGAAATTATTCCAAAACATAATTTAAAAAACAAAAGTGGGAAATAATAGAGTGTCATATTCTTTCCTCCTAATTAACATTGTCAATAAAATTTATTTTCCAGTGCCATTATATACTCCTTGAAAATATGATTTTTAATTTTTGTATATTATCTCATGAACTTTTAAAATTGGAAAGATAAATGTATAATGTATAGAAAAGTTTAAAAAATTAATACATTCATGTCATTTCAATGATATTCATAACTATCTACGGACATCTCTATTAGGGATACTTTCTTTAAAGTGGAATTAGCTGTTTAAAGAATATGGATATTTCAAAGGCCCCTGATACATGCTGCAGCAGAAGCTCTCTTGCAGGGGCTACCAATTTATGTTCTAATAAACAGTGAGAAAAGTGTCAATTTTATCATATCCTGCCAACACTGGCCATTATAGTTTCGCTAAATCTTTGTCAATTTGATAGGCACAAATCAATCTCAGTGTTTTTTTTTTAAAGATTTTATTTTTTCCTTTTTCTCCCCAAAGCCCCCCGGTACATAGTTGTGTATTCTTCGTTGTGGGTTCCTCTAGTTGTGGCATGCGGGACGCTGCCTCAGCGTGGTATGACGAGCAGTGCCATGTCCGCGCCCAGGACCCGAACCAACGAAACACTGGGCCACCTGCAGCGCAGCGCGCGAACTTAACCACTCGGCCACGGGGCCAGCCCCCAATCTCAGTGTTTTAAGTAGGAATGTCTCTGTTTTCGTTTGGAAGAAGAAGGTGAAAGCAAACACTGAGCGTGAAGAGATAGATTGAAGATAGCAAACAAGAAGGAACTGTAATGTTTGGAATGGGCACCAGAGAAGAAATCAAACCATGGAGAATAAAAGAGTCCTAAGTGCCAGTTAATGTTGGCAATCAATTTGCAACAAAGAAAATAAACATTTATATCTGATTTTTTCTTACACTGAGAGATGGAAGCACAAATAGAAAAAAAAATTCTGAATTGTATTGTTTCTGTACTAGGAAATGACAGGGAAAATAAAACAGATAATCAAGGGATGAGGGTGATATAATTGTGGACACCAATGAAAGCAGAGTTTAAATGGTCCACCAAGAGATCTACCCAGCTTAGGAAAGGAGAGAGCTGAATCTAGAAGTTACTTAATAGCTTTTAGGAAGAGGAAAGGGTCAAAAACACCGGCAATAACAAAGATTCAAAAAGAAGGATTTATGTGTTGGGAAGACTCAAAAGAGACAAAGTTATAGTTAGACAAAGAGATTTCAGGGTCTGAAACTTCATAAGTAAAATTATTGTGAGGGATTATAGAGTTCAAAGTGAACTCATTTAACATAGACATAGATTCGGGGTATAGAAGTTGAGGAATTTTAAAAAGGTAATTGAAAGGTGCCCAAAATAATGACCTTATGTGAAGATGAAAACAATGAGCACCAAAAGTAGTCAAGGGATGTGGAGCACTGACTAAGATATTGGCCAATGATGAGACAAGGAGAGAATAACAATCACAGAGGAATATAAATGATGCTGATAGTTTGAAAGTGGTAGCAGTGAGGTCCAGATCTTTGTATCCCAGATCTGCACCATGGAGGAACAAGGAATAAAGAGGATTTTAAAAAGCTAGGTTTTAGTTGAGGTGAAGAGGTAAACAATATAAGTATATGTAGGCATGAAGATAAAGGAAGAACATACTCATTTTGAAACTCAATTAGCAGAAGAAAGGTTTCACAATATTTTCTTAGCTCTTTTTTTGAATATTAAATTAAAATTTACCATTATTTCTCTTCATTTAAAAAACAGATATAATTTTAAGTAAAAATTCTTCTTTTGAATATTTCGCCATGCTGCTAATTGAAAAGGATAATAAAGGAATGTACATCAATAGCTGTTTTTTAATAAAATGAAAGGTGAGATGCATCACTTTTGTAGGAATGGCATTTTAGATTGTTTCAATAAGGCAATACAAAATACAAATAGCCAAACAGACCACTGAACACATCAATTCTTTCAAACAGGCAAAGATGAAATTACTATTATAGTGTTAAATGCAGCCAGGAAATATCCACATTAAAATACCTACAATCGACTAAAGACCATACCATTTTCTTTTCATTTCCTGCAAACTAAATTACTGAGAAATTATTTGGTTGAAAGTATATTTTGAAAATGCCTTCCTTACAGTCTCCTCAATTTTTATTATGTTTAAAATGATTTTAAGCCCAAAGAACTATGTAAAAACTAAAAATGTTAAAAATCAAAAGGAAAGTAACTCAAAGTTGCAATAAGGGGAAATGTTGTAAACAAATTATAGTACATTCGCTTTTAAAATTATGTTTCAAAAGAATATTAATAGGGGGCCGGCCCGGTGGCGCAGCGGTTAAGTTCGCACGATCCGCTTCTCGGCGGCCCGGGGTTCGCTGGTTCCGATCCTGGGTGCGGACATGGCACCGCTTGGCATGCCATGCTGTGGTAGGCATCTCAAGTATAAAGTAGAGGAAGATGGGCACGGATGTGAGCTCAGGGCCAGGCTTCCTCAGCAAAAAACAGGAGGACTGGCAGTAGTTAGCTCAGGGCTAATCTTCCTCAAAAAAAAAAGAAAAAAATGGAAAAAAAAAGAATACTAATAACATATGATCATATAATAAATGAAAAATAGCAAGATAGAAAAGTGTATATATATTATGGTTTCACTTTTGAAACAGTCTGTGTGTAGAGACTAGAATGAAGGAAATGCATGTGTATTTTCCAATTTCTCTACAAAAAATACATATCACTTTCATAACTTTAAAAAAGAAAAAATACTTTATAATTTAGTCTGATTTTTCCTCCTTGTTAACCTAAATTAGTGATGTTTTGAAGTACTCTTTGTTATGTCTATTTCTTAAATATCAGTATATATTGCTGAATTATAATCATTATACTCATTGTTTTACTTCAACATATGTACCTAGTAAAGTGTTAGCAGCTAAGGCAACATTTTTTTTTAACTTTTTATTGAGATTATGATAGTTTACAACCTTGTGAAATTTCAGTTGTACATTATTGTTTGTCAGTCGTGTTGTAGGTGCACCACTTCACCCTTTGTGCCCACCCCATACTCCCCCTTTCCCCTGGTATCCACTAATCTGTTCTCTTTGTCTACATGTTTAACTTCCACATATGAGTGGAGTCATACAGAGATTGTCTTTCTCTATCTCACTTATTTCACTTAATACTCTCAAGGTCCATCCATGTTGTTGTGAATGGGATGATTTTATTTTTTTTTTATGGTTGAGTAATACTCCATTGTATATATATACCACCTCTTCTTTATCCAACCATCAGTTGATGGGCACTTAGGTTGCTTCCAGGTTTTGGCTATTGTAAATAATGCTGCACTGAACATAGAGGTGCATGGCACTTTTGGAATTGCTGACTTCAAGTTCTTTGGATAGATACCCAGTAGTGGGATGGCTGGGTCATGTGGTATTTCTATTTTTAATTTTTTCAGAAATCTCCATACTGTTTTCCATAGTGGCTGCACCAGTTTGCATTCCCACCAGCAGTGTATGAGGGTTCCTTTTTCTTCCCAACCTCTCCAACATTTGTTACTCTTTGGTTATTTTTGCCATTCTAACAGGTGTAAGGTGATATCTTAGTATAGTTTTGACTTGAATTTCTCTGATGATCAGTGATGATGAGCATCTTTTCATGTGCCTATTGGCC